CCATCCCAGCTCCATCCCAGACCCATCCCAGCTCCATCCCAGCCCCATCCCAGCTCCATCCCAGACCTATCCCAGCTCCATCTCCCAGCCAAGCTCCATCTCCAGCTCCATCCCAGCCCCATCTCCAGCTCCATCTCCAGCTCCATCCCACCCCCATCCCAGCTCTGGCTCCATCCCACCCCCATCCCAGCCCCATCCATGTGACCAGCACCCCAAGGCTCTGGGCAGCCCCGGGCACACATCCCATGAATTCCCGGGATGAAAGGAGGATCAAAGGAGGCCTGTCCAGGAACAAGGGCGGCTCTCACCAGGGCTCCTCTCCAAATCCACTCAAAGCTCAGCAGAACAACCTCGGATTTATGGACCCCATGGAAGCTCCAAGCATTGACTCGTCCCTTTTCCTGCACTTTGATGGTCTCGCTCGCCTTTATTCCACTTTCCAGACCCTTTTTTTGCCAATCTTGAGGGTTTTTCCAAGGATTCCGGCCATTTCTGAGCTGCTGGTTGTGACTTCCAGCAGGTTTTGACCACCACAAGATTTAAATCTCAACATGTTTGTATCAGCTGAGGTGTCCAAAACCAGCTTGGAGCAATCTGGAACGTGTGAGACTGGATGGGGCTGAAGGTCCTTTCCAACCCAAACCAGTCTGGAATTCTGAATAAATTCACTTTATCAGCACAGAGGTGTTGATTCCAGCAGGAAAAAAATCCAATTAATTCCGATTTCAGCAGCTCCAAAAGCTGCAGAGCTAAATTCCATCCTCTGAAGCTCCTTGGGAAATCTTTTAATCAGCCTGAGGAGTTATTCCATAAATCCCAACCATCTTTCCACTGCTCTTAAATCCAACTTTTTACCCCCAAAAGGAGCCCTAATCCTTAGGGGATCATGTCGATATCAGCAGAGCTCACATTTGAACAGGATAAACCCCTCAGCCAGCAGAGATCAGCACAAAAACACCTCCAGACCCTCTGGAAAACTCCCTAAAAAATACATTTATTTATGGAAGCTGAGCCTCAGCCCACGCCATTAAGGGAACTCCCAGCTGCTGCCCAAAACTCTGGGGATTTCCTCAAAAACTTCCCAAAATAAGACAAAAGAAACCTCCAAACCCTCAGGTTTTCAGGTTGTTCCAATCATTCCAGGCACAAAGAAAACAACCCCAACGAGCAGAAAACAAATTGGATTTTTTTTTTCATATCTTCACCTATTTATGCTTCAAATCCCTAATCAGGTTTTGTTTTTAAAGCTCCCCAAGAACCCAAAAACCTCAGGATTGGAGGAAATTCCCAAATTCCCAAAAGGCAATTCCTAGAATACCATTTGTGCATCCATACAAATAATCCTTCGATAATTCCAGTTAAGGAATTGTTAACAGTTAATCATCCTTTAACAATTACACTGCTGTGGAATTATTCCCCAGTGATTTTTTTGGGGGGATTTCTGGGCTGGAATTAAAGGATCCCCAAATTCCCAGCGAGGAGAGGGAGCTCTGGGGAAAAGCCAGGATTTTGCTGACTCCCTGGGAAAGGCAGGCAAAGCAAACACAACTTTCCCTTCCCTCACAAGCCCTGGATCCAGCTCAGTTCTGCTCCCAGGAGTAACCTGGGAGTAACCTGGGAGTAGCAAAGCCTGGCAGGGGTGGGTGTTGTGTCACCATCCGAGCAGGGAAAGTGGGAAATAAAAAGGATTTATTTTCTCCTTGAGCTCACTGAGGGGTTCAGGGGCTCTACTCAGCAGATCCTCAGCAGATCCTCAGCCCTGGCTGTGTTTGGAAGCTGATCCCAAGGGAATTTCCCTCCCTGTGCTGTCCCAGCCCACCCTGCAGGCGCCCCAGCAGCAAACCCTGCACCTTGTTTTGGTTCCTGAGACATCCACATTGATTTTCCAGGTTTATTTTCCCCACTTTCCTCCCCACCCCACTGCCCAATTCCCTCTGTGCTGCACAAAACCGACCCTGCACAACTCCTTGGATAAAATTCCTCTACTTTGGTACCACCTGAAGGGCAGATTTTGGGGAAAATTCAAGGAAAATTGTGCTCCTTAAACATTCTGATACCTAAAAACCTCCCCAGGGAAAAATAAAATAAAATAAAAAAAAGAGGATTTCTACAATCCTGCTTTGATCCCAGCCACGTCCAGCCTGGCTCTGGGGGCTCCCAGGGATGGAGCAGCCACTGATTCCCTGGGAATTCCATCCCAGTGAAGGATTTATTCCCAACATCCCATCCAAAGCAGCCCAGAGAATCCTGGAATGGGTTGGGATGGAAGGAATCATCCAATCCCATGGGCAGGGACACTTCCCACTATCCCAGGGTGCATTTTATCACATTTTAAGCCATATTTTAGCCGTATTTTTATCTATATTTTATTTCTTTTTACCTATTTTTTTTCAATTTTTAATCCATTTTTTTATCCACTACCCAACTTGACCTTGGGGATTCCCAGAGACGGGGCAGCCAAGGATTCCCTGGGAATTCCATCCCAGGGAAGGATTTATTCCCAACATCCCATCCAAAGCAGCCCAGGGAATCTTGGAATGGGTTGGGTTGGAAGGAAAACAAAACCCCCAGAGACCCCCTCACAAAACCCCCCAGAGACCCCCTCACAAAACCCCCCAGAGACCCCCTCACAAAACCCCCAGAGACCCTCTCACAAAACCCTCACAAAACCCCCAGAGATCCGTCACTGCAGATTCCCCCTTTACCCCCACAGACCCCTCACAAACCCCCCAGAGACCCCTCAGAAAAGCCCCACAGACCCCTCACAAGCCCCTCACAGACCCCTCACCGCAGAGGTTCCCCCTTTACCCCCACACACCCCTCACACCCCCGATCCTCTCACCTCCATCCCCGGGACCCCCATCCCCATCGCAGGCGGAGCGGGGGCCGTCACCGTCAGGCGCCGAGGCGAAGGGCTGCCCCTGGGAGAACTTGACGTCGCGGAAGAACCTCTTGGTCTCTCGCAGGTTGTGCTGCAGCCGCGCCAGGTGCCGGTTGTAGTGGCCGAAGGAGCGGCAGAGCTCCCGCACGGCCCCGCCGGGACCCCGCCATGACGCCGCCGCCTCGCCCTCCATGTCCTCCGGGTCCGCCCCGCTATCCCCTCCCCACCGCGGCCAGCTCTCGGGCCCGGCCAGGCTGCCGCCCTTCGGGGAGGAACCTCCCCGAGGATTTCCTCTCCTCCCGACCCCCCTCCCGCCCCTCCCTCCTCCCCGACCCCCGCGGCCGCCGCCTTCTCCCGAGGGGAAGCGCCTCCACCGGCCGCGCTGCGTGTGCGCGGAACGTTTGTCGGCGCGCCGCAGGGCAAAGGGGGAGGAGGCCTGACGCACCCTGCGCGCGAGGCATGCCGGGAGGTGTAGTTTATTCACGTTAAAATGGAGATTATTTTCCCCGGCCCGCGGAGGGACGCCGGGAGTTGTAGTCTGCTGTGCCGCAGAGCCTCATGGAATTTGTAGTCTCACCAAGAGCGGCCGCCGACCTCTCCCCGCGGCCTCTGCGCACCCCCGCGGGGGACGAGCAAAAATCCTCCAAAAAGAGAGAAGCGACCACGAAATGACGAATTTAAACAGGGGGAGCAAAAGGCGGCGCTCAGGCGCCGCCAGCCGCTCCCCCACCCCGCGCTGCGCGGAGCGGCTCGGCGGGAGGCGGCGCGCCCGTCTCCAGCTCCGCTCCGCCTCCGCGAATCCCCAGCGGCGGCCCCGCCCTCCGCGCGCGCTCATTGGCTACTTCCTCCCTCTCTCCCCGCCCATCGAGCGCTCTCCGCCAATCACCGCGCGAGGCCCCTCCTCCTTCTCTCCGCCATTGGCCGGCGGCGCTGTCCGTCAGGCGGCGCGGCGGCGGCGGCGATGCCGGTGGCGGCGGCGGGCGCGGAGCCGCCGCGGCGCGGAGCCGCCGCCCGGCCCGGGCTCGGCGGGGCGGGCGGGCCGGGGCCGCGCAGCCCGCGGGCCCCGCAGCGGCCGCCGGGGCGCCGCCCGCCGCCGCCGCCGCCGCCGGCGCGGCCGGTGCGGCCGTAGGCGTCCCCGCGGCTCTCCCGGGATGAAGCGGTGCCGCTCGGACGAGCTGCAGCAGCCCGAGGACGATCCCGGCGCCGCGGGGGAGTCGCCCGGTCACGGCGTGATGGAGGGCAAGGCCGGCGAGGCGGCGGCGGCCCCCGAGGCGGGCGCTGTCCCGCCGCCGCGCTCCAAGCCCCCCGACCTGAAGGTGAGAGTCCCGGTGGGACACCGGGGACGGGAAAATCCCATAGGATCGGCGGCGGGTTCTTCCCGGTGCGGAGAACCCAGCGGGGTCACCGGAGCGATGGAGCTCGGCGGTGGCGGCATGCCCATCCCCTCGGTCCCACAGGTGTGACCTTGGAGGATGCGGGGTGGCTCCTGGCGAGCGGCGCTCCGGGATTGGGATAATCCCGGGAATAGGGAGAGGAGACCCCCGGTGCTCCTGGGTGCTCCTGTCAACAGAGATCCTGCTGGGATTGGGATGCTCCGAGATGGGGACGGTCCTGTCACGGGGAGCTGACTGGATGAGGATGCTCCAGGGATGGAGACACTCCCGGGATGGGGGATCGCTGGGATCGGATCCTCCCGGGATGCGGCGGCTCCTGCGGTGGGCACGGGGATGGTGCCGGGATGGGGTTGGTCCTGCACTGGGGACACTGCTGGGATTGGGATTCTGCTGGGATGAAGAAATCCCGGGTTGGGAACAGGGCGCTGCGGGCTGCCCCTCTGCAGAGGGGCTGCGCAGATCCCGGGAAATCCCTGCCGGGAGGAGCCGGGGAGATGCTCCGGGAGGAGCCGGGGAGATGGTCCAGGAGGATTTCGGGGAGATCCAGGAGGATCGGGAGAGAGGATCCGGGGGAGATGCTCTGGGAGGATTTCGGGGAGATGGTCCAGGAAGATCCAGGGGAAATGCTCCGGGAGGATCTGGGGGGACGCTCTGGGAGGATTTCGGGGAGATGCTCCAGGAGTATCCAGGAGGATTTAGGGGGATGCTCCGGGAGGATCCGGGGGAGATGCTCCAGGAGGATCCAGGAGGACTGGGGGGGGATGATGCTCCAGGAGGATCCGGGGGAGATGCCCCGGGAGGATTTCGGGGAGATGCTCCAGGAGGATGCTCCGGGAGGATCCAGGAGGATGCGGGGCTGCGGCACCGGGGAGTGACGGTGTGGAAATGGCCCCGAGGCTGCTCCTGCCGGGCCTTGGGGCCGCTGGATGAGGAAAACAAACCCGGGGCGCTGCAGCGCTGCGGGAGGCACAGAGCCCATCCCGGAGCGGGGGGATCCGGCCTGAAATCCGGCACAGAATTCCCTTGGCTCTGGCAAAGCAGCAGCTCCGACTCCCGGCAGCTCAACGGGGTTTTTATGGACGAATTCCCAGCGCGGAATTCAGGGATGTGCAGGCGTGGGAATGCCGTGGGCAGAGTGGGATCAGAGGCGCCCCGTGGTGGCACGGGTGCTTTCAAAAAGCCCTGGGAGAAGTGGGAAATGTCCCTGCTGGGCCGTGGGGTGCAGGATGGAGCCCTCGGGCTGGCAGCCCTGGCGGTGCCCCCGCTGTGGTCAAGGTCACGAGGAAGGGATGGCACTGCCCGGCTCTGCCATCCCTTCCAGAACGCTGCCAGGAGATCACATCCCTGCTCCCAGGGGAAAACTTGGAGCAGGAGGAGCCCCGTGGCTGCTGGAGGTGACACAAGTGGGGCCTTCCCTCGGTGGCCCAGCAGCTCCTGAGGCTCTTTGGCTTTGCTGCTGGGGGGGAGCAGCTGCTGCTGCCCCAAAAACAGCTGGAGGAGCAGGGCCGGGCACATCTGTGGGACCGGAGGGTGGCACGGGGTGTCCCAGAGCAGCTGTGGGTCCCTGGCAGTGCCCAAGGCCAGGCTGGCCAGGGTTTGGAGCAGCCTGGGACAGTGGGAGCTGTCCCTGCCCACCCCTACAGGAGGTGGGACTGGATGAGGTTGAAATTCCCTTCCCAGCCAAACCGTTCCAGGATTTTCTGATTCCATAATTCCACGATCCGTGAGGATATGGAGCTCAGGGCCACGCTTGGGACTTCCAAGGTGTTGTTTCCCACCCATCCTTTCTCCATCCCACCTGGGGCTCAGAAGGGGGTGGGGGTGTTGGCCAAAAGGAGCTGCAGCTTGCCATGGCTGTGCCCAAAACATCCCAGGGCTGGCACATCCCAGCAGGAGCTGGAGCTCCACAGCCTCATCCAGCAGCAGCATCCGAGGCCAAACAAACCCCATTGATTTTATCGAGCTGCCTGTGCTCCCTTCCTGCAGGTTTGCTGCCAGTGCTCACCTTTAATGCGTTTGGGGCTCAGCAATTAATTAAAATAAATCCTCGAGCTGGGCAGAAGGCAGGGGAGGCTGGGGCTGGCTGCTGCCCGCAGCTGCCACGGCACGCCGGGCGCCGTGCCACGGTCGCCACCAGTTTATAAATTCGTAATTAATTAATTAATCGGAGTTTTCCTGCCTCAAACCCCCCCTGGAGCTGCCGGTGGGGTGTGTTCAGGCTGGTCTTGCTGGCCCTGCTCCAAATCCAGAATCCTGTCCCCGTGAATGTTTAAGGATCAGGGATTCCTGTTCCCATGGACATTTAAGGATCGGAGATTCCTGTCCCTGTCCTGTCCCCATGGATGAGGAAGGATCACAGATTCCCGTCCCTGTGGATGAGGAAGGATCACAGATTCCTGTCGCCATGGATGGGGAAGGATCAGAAATTCCCATTCCCATGGACATTTAAGGATCAGAGATTCCTGTCCCTGTCCTGTCCCCATGGATGGGGAGGGATCACAGATTCCTGTCCCTGTGGATGATGAAGGATCACAGATTCTTGTCCCTTTGGATAGGAGGGGTCAGAGATTCCTGTCCCTGCCCTGTCCCCTTGAATGGGGAATGATCACAGGTTTCTGTCCCTGTGGATGGGAAGGATCAGAGATTCCTGTCCCCATGGATGATGAGGGATCACAGATTCCTGTCCCCATGGATGATGAGGGATCACAGATTCCTGTCCCCGTGGATGGGGAAGGATCAGAGATTCCTGTCCCAGTCCTGTCCCCATGGATGATGAAGGATCAGAGATTCCTGTCCCTGTCCTGTCCCCATGGATGATGAAGGATCAGAGATTCCTGTCCCCGTGGATGGGGAAGGATCAGAGATTCCTGTCCCTGTCCTGTCCCCATGGATGATGAAGGATCAGAGTAAACTCTTTGCTGCCAGCTGAGATGGATTTGAGGTGGGACCCTGGAGCCTGCCTGGTGTCACCTCTGGTGGATCCCTGGCTGCTCTCCCTTCCCATCCCTGGCTCCGGTGCCGCCAGCGAGGGCTCCCTTAGGGATAAAATAAGGAATAAAACAAGGGATAAAAGGAGTTCTGGCAGGGAGCAGAGCTGCTGTGTGACAGCTGTGCTCAGAACCCGTTGGTGGCAGGGATTTCTGCAGGAGCGATGGGATCCTTCCAAAGCCCTCATCCAAAACTGCCGCTTCTCCTGAGCCAAGGGTTTTCCCTGGCTCTCTGGTTTCCCTGGATGTGTTTTCCCTGGCTCTCCGTTTTCCCTGGATGTGTTTTCCCTGGCTCTCCCTTTTCCCTGGATTTCTGTTTTCTCTGGATTTCTGTTTTCCCTGGATGTCTTTTCCCTGACTTTCCCTTTGCCCTGGATTTCTGTTTTCTCTGGTTGTGTTTTCCCTGGCTCTCCCTTTTCCGTGGATGTGTTTTCTCTGGATTTCCCTTGTCCCTGGCTCTCATTTTCCCTGGCTCTCCTTTTCCCTGGATTTCTCTTTTCCCTGGCTCTCACTTCTCCCTGGATTTCTGTTTCCCAGGGCTCTCTGTTTCCCCTGGCTCTCCCTTTTCTCTGGATTTCTGTATTCCCTGGCTCTCCTTTTCCCTGGATTTCCCTTTTCCCTGGATTTCCCTTTCCCAGGCTCTCCTTTTCCCTGGATTTCCCTTTCCCTGGATTTCCCTTTCCCTGGATTTCCCTTTTCCCTGGATTTCCCTTTCCCTGGATTTCCCTTTTCCCTGGATTTCCCTTTCCCTGGATTTCCCTTTTCCCTGGATTTCCCTTTCCCAGGCTCTCCTTTTCCCTGGATTTCCCTTTCCCTGGCTCTCCCTTTCCCTGGATTTCCCTTTCCCTGGCTCTCCTTTTCCCTGGATTTCCCTTTTCCCTGGATTTCCCTTTCCCTGGCTCTCCTT